GTAAGCAGTGTGGTAACACAGCAGTGGAGTAGAGCAAGCCACATCTGGAAGAAGGGCAGAAGCAGTACAATGAAAATTCATAGTGATGTGGAGTTTCAGTTTCTGGAGATGTTACTGACAGTTTCTATTTCCAAGCAACAGGCCCTCCCCACTCCCAAAAATAAAAGAAAACCGAGAGTGACATTTTATGAGAAGGGTAAAGCATACTCACGAGAACTACAGGAAGGTCCTACTGGACTGGTGGGAGGGGTGATAGGCAGGAGTCTAGGATCTATGAATGAAGTAAATGATGCTGTAGACGATGTACTGCTCTTTGAAGGTGGGCTTTCAGTGCACGGGGTCTACAATGAAAAACAAGAGCTGCTTCAGGAAGATGATGCTAGGGGAGCAGACAGCACACAGCAATGTGGTGCCTCTGAGGTTCAGAAGAAATGGCATGTGGCATACTTAGACATGATGAACAGCCATAAAGCAGTAGATACATGGTACAAATTCAGTGACAGAAGAGGAGGCCTGAGCAGGGAGTCGTGTCGGGATGCTTAGCCAGGCACTGCACTGCAATAACCCGTCCCCAGAAGAAGAGCACATCGATCACTCCCTGCTGTCTTATCTGCAACAGGGCATTGCTCAAATCTCTTTGCAGCAAGGACACTGTTGCCTCAAGCAAGGCAGTTTAGGACGTGACCCCTGAGAGAGCTGTTATCTGCCTGCACTGACGCCCTTCTCCCCAAGAGACACAGCAGTGTTAGAGTCCCTTTGGGGCTGCCAAGACACCCTGCCCCGGCCCCGTGCTCTTCCACCCAACACTTGGATGGAAGAAAGCCAGGGACAATGAGCAGAGGCAGACGAGAGTGCTGCCTTGCTGACACGACAGGTAAAGGAGCAGAGGGTACAAGCCCTTCTAGCTTGTGTAAAAGGGGAGAAAAAAAGGAAGGAAAGAACAGGGAGCAGAGAGAGAGATGGGGGCAAACAAGTGGAACAATAAAACCTGTTAGGAAGCTCAAGATTTCTTATCTGTCCCCTACATAAGACTTCTAAAGAAAAGAAGGGATGTGGTGAAAAAAACTCATCATAAAAAGACAGGACAGATGAAGTTAAAAGGCTTTCAGTCTCAGGCTCCTAAGGGCTGGAGGAAAATGATGGTACAATTCATTCAATCTGTAATTTATCTCTTACCTTATTCAGAGGTTTGTTCTCAGGTTCCTGGCTGGTCAGTGGCACTTTTGGTGGGTTCACAGAGGAGTCTGAAATTTGGCTTTGCTGGAGAAGATCTGGCAGGAGATAGTTCTGGTTGTTTACACTCCAGAGGCCTTCCTGGGTGCTAGAAATTTGTTTCCCTAAAATCTGATCCTGCACATGAGAACATACAGTTAAACTCCACATTTAGCATACTTCCAATGCACTATGCAACTCCTGTTAATTAGGACAATAAATAATGAGCATATGGAGAGGGGTGCTCTGTGTGATGCATCATGTAAAGACAAACCCTAGGGAATGATGAAAATAAAAAATTAAATATAAAAGTATGTGGCAAGCACCTGAGACATCAACACTGGCTTCCACTCCTGAAGTGCTCCACAAATGTTTCTCATCTATGTTACCTCAGCCACAGGTAAAGCAGCAACTTCATCCTCAGCGACACTTGAGACAGAATCAAATGACTTGTCCTGCCATTACAGATCTGACCTCTACCTACCACAGTCAGAAGTAGGTACTTGTCAGTTCTGGACCTGCATTTAGTTCAAAGCCCCTTACCATTCATTTCATTGCTACTTTCCATTTACTGATTTAGGAAACCTTATTCTAGAATGTTGACATTCAGTAGGACCCAGTATCAACATTTCCAGTACAACCATGTTTGGTACTGCAGACCTCCTTACAGGATCCCACCAGCTTCAAGAAAAGACTTGTAAACTCTGTAAGGTGCGAGGCACCACACAGGCTCTCTCCCCGACAGCACAAAATACAGAGCCTGAGGTCGGTTTCTGGGAATCCATGGCTAGAAGCTTTGAGAGGAAGAAAGATGGGATGCGTAAAGCAAGCGGTGTCCCAGATGGGGAGGGCGGCACAGAGGGATCTACCCCTGGCCGTGATCAGTCAGGGTACCTGAACACCATTGGCACTGGAACATAGAGGGTGACAGGAGCCAGGTGCTACACTAGAAAATTCCTCCTGAATTACATCGAAGCAAAAAGCATCGCCAAACTCAAGCAGCTTCTGGCTGGCTGAATTCAAGGCAAGTCTGTACATTGTACTGACTTTGATAAACAACCTAAATCAAACCTGAAATCAGATCAGCTTTTTTGAATGCTGGCCAAAATATGGAAGAAAAAAAAAAAAAGTAGATAATTCTAAATAAAAGACATTTGCCTTTTAAAAGCCAAGTAATTAACTAGAAATCAAATTGATGCTCTAACTATTTTACATTTTAAATTAGATATAAAAAAACCAAAACAAACCATACATGTCAGTAGTTGGGATTAGGGAATCAAGCCAATTACAGGGCTTTTTTGTTCAGTTTTGAGTCAGATTCAGCTGAACTGAACCAACCCCCCATTTGAATCATTTGGGCGGTTTGGTACACTCTAACCACTTCAAACCAGTTCATGCTGATGGGCCAGGGAAAGGGACGTTGGAAGAAGTTGTGGAGACTCATGATGGCTGTGGTTGGTGAAACAGAGGTGGGAAGAATGGGTAGGATTCTCCATGAGAAGGAGGGAGAAGACTGGAAGGCATCGGAGAGGTTTGTGAGGGGAGGTGGCAGTCACCTGTCTGTTCTCCCTCCCACATTGTCCTCCCCAAACCCACCAGAAAAAGTGACCTCCACTCTTTTCCATCCTCCCTCATCCTCAAGTCTGGGCCGCAAAGACTCCATCCTTCACCTTTCCCTCAAGCAGCCTCTTTCCAATGCCTGGATATCAGGGGAAAGGGAAAGCACTGGGCTGGTTTTGCCACAAGAAAAAACACTGGGTTTGCCCCATTTATAATGCCTTCTCTGAAGCAGGGTCTTTTCTCCTCGAGGATGGTGGGACAAAGGCGAAGTGGGACTCCTTCCCAGTCAGGAAGGATGCCACTCTGGTCTGACGCTTAGAAATCACACCGGAGGTAAAGAAAACTCCTTTTTCTTCTAGCCCTGCCACAGCTCATGCAAGCAGCTCTGGGAAAAACACCAGTTTCACAGCAATTTATTTTCCCTATCTGTGAAAAGAGAGTAGACTCAGTAATATGAGAGAAGTGCTCTGACGCTGAGCGCAAGCCTTATTACTGTAATTTTTTTTGGTTTTAACCACAAAGAACATTGTTCTGCTTTGTCTGTCTGCATCTTTTCTGCAATAACATTTATCACAGAGGAAAATCCACATGACTAGAAACTACAGCTGGGAAGGAACCACAACATGACATATGAGAAGACACGTATTTTTGCTAAGCCGGCAGGGAGAGATGAAGTGTTTTTCCCCTCTTCTGGTAACATTTTAAGTAGGAAGAGGTAGTTCTCTTTAAATTGGAATAAAAAAGGTCAAGATTTTTAAAAAGAGCAATAATGCACACCAACAATAATCAACAGTATTGCTTCTTGCAACCTGCCCAGCGCCTTCAAGAAATACCTTGACATCTGAAACTACTATCAGGTCAATAACAAGGACAAAGAAAGAAGCGCAATTTTGTACCTAAATGTAAGCATTTTTATAGGAAGCACAAAGCCTGAAACTACACATTTTTTCAAGGCTTATAGCTATAATTTGCAATGACAGAGCAGGACTTCAGAGTGAAAATGCTGCTGAGAAGAAACGGATACAGCGTTTATCATGCACATTAACGACCTGACTCCCTCCCACCGCACCCACCCCCTTACAAATGGCCAAATTACCTTCTGTTCTGCAACGGTGCTTTGGGGTTTCAGTTCAATTCCATCTGGTACGCTCGTCCTTGAGAAATCTGCCACTCTACTGCTTAGCGGTTGCCTGGTAACAAACTCCAATTAATGAACAGAACTACTTCAGGGAAAAAAGAAAAAAAAAAAGAGCCCAAAAAACTCAAAAAGCAAAAAACCCCACATATACATGTTCAAAAGTGAGCATAATTAACATTCACTAGTTACACTTAAAGGTTCTTCTACAAAAGCAAGCTGATTAGTCTGTGGATGTGCCTGAACGGACTCAAGGCTGAGGACCACTCACGGAGAGCAGGAAGCTCTCCCCACCTCGACAGAAAGCATCCCTGCATTTCACCCATCATTTTTCAGACACTGTATAGCTCAGGCAAGAGAGAGCTGGTCCTTCAAGCTGTCACTTGAGAAGTGCCTACTTCAAAACTTCTCCTGTTTCCCCTCGTACACTACCCTGTGGGGTGCCATTATGAGCCACCCTGCTCTCCAGAGAAAGAGCATCAGCTGCACTTGCACAGGGGAGAGCCAACGCTCCGCTGTATGCTGGTATCAGGGACCTCTCTGCCAGTGCCTACTGGGACAGGCTACACCGGAATTTCATACTGTGAATCAGGCCCTGAAACACGGACATCCTCACCTTACGTACAAAGAAACAAAGAAAACGTTGCCCAGCGCACACAGAGACAAAAGAACGTAAGAGCTGCTGGACTGGCTGGGGCCAAAAGCCCACCTAGCCCAGCACCCTGTCTTAAACAGCGACCAAAAGCAGATCCCTAAAGAAAGAGTAAGAACAAGGCAAGCATCTGTTGTGATATACCCCAGCATACCATTACTTCCTACACAACCAACTGTATCTTTGCATTTTAAACTTTTTCACCCAAGTGGAACTGCCTCAAACTCTTGTCAGTGAGGCTCTGGCCCCATTTCTGTTCATTTCCACCCCACATTATTTATTCTACTTATTTATATTCATTTATTTTTTACTGCAATCCATTTAAGCCTGTTACATTTCTGCCTCCTTTCCAGTAATTATAAAACTGACTGGATTCAGGATGCTGGTGCAAAGGGCTCTACAGTGCTACGCCACAACTGGTAGGAGAGTGTAAGGGTTTGGTCGTTGGTTTTTTCTTTTTTTTTTTTAAAAATGCTGCCCAGTGCGATAACAAAGAAGGTTTGACAAGAGAGCTACCAACTTAAGATGGTTGTGAAGGAGCAGTGTTTGTGGATTTTTTTGTTGTTGTTGTTGTTTACTGTTTGGTTTTGGGTCCCTCCCCCCTTCTGTGGGGGTAAATATCTGCATAGTAAACTTAGAAGGAATGGCAAGATATAGAGTAGGATCAAAGGTGAGTGCAAGGACCTGTTCTTATCAGGCAAGCAAGCAGCAGCTGATTTTAAATGATGTCAACCTCCCACTTATTAGGGGGAGAAAGTAATTCCTAGCCAAGCACACACCTGCACCCACCTTGTTCAAATTTTGGCAGGGAACAGCATATAAAGAGCAGAGAGAGGAAAGTGAATTATGTAATACGAGTCCCAGGAAACTCAGGGCTTTAGGGGACTGTGAATGCTGCAGGCATCGGAGGAGGAAGCACTCTCAGCAGAGCAGCAGAAATTAGCATCAATGGAATAGAGATGCCATACAAGCAGGTAAGATGCTGGATCACATACGCTGACATCCTTTCCTTAAAACAAAAACCTGGAGCGTGTGAGGAAGAGTTCTGGCTCATCCCACTGGAAAGATAAACAAGAGCAAAAGTTGTTTTACTGCTGAAAGACAGCTGCCCTTAGTCCTGGCTTCCTCAGAAATGAGCCTTCTCAGGATGGTTAACAGGATTCGTCCAAGGGAATACGAAGCTCCTTCTCTTGCATATGTGCATGTCCCAAGTCTAGTCCTACTGGGCACCTCCATGAAAGCTGGAGCGTGGACATCAAAAGCTGTTCCACAGCCCAGGCAAGAACAAGAAAACACGGATCGTTTTCAGTAGCCAACTAAAACTTAGCCCAAGGTGTCTCAGCGAAAGCCCACACAGAAACACTCCTACAGACTGCAAGGGGCTTCAGAGCCTGCATTCACATGCTTTAGAGAGCAACAAAAACAAAAACCTTCACTTTATCCAGAATATGCAAAGTTCCAATGCTGGCTGCTGCCTTCACTTTGATCACTATCCTTTTTGCTCTTTACTCGGTAGTAATCAGGATATATTTCCCAAAGTATCTATCTTTTAATATAAATGACGTTCAGCTGAGGTGAAGGGAGTTTGTTAATACACAAGATTATACTTTTGATTTTACAGGAGTTCTTGTGGTGGCTGTGTGCACAGGAAAGCAAACCTGACAGGGATCATCCTGCTGATTCCATTGCTCTGGAGGACTGGTGGATCTCGCACACAGAGGAATTGCAAACACCACATGCAGACTTCCAAAGGCAGTGATACCACTCCTTCAAATCATTACAGCATGCAAGGATCACAGCAATCTAACACTTACACAGCAAAGTCATTGCTACAGGGCAAATCCATATTTTTACGTAGAGTCTTTCTGAGGTCTAGGATGAATTCTATGACCTAGAGTGAATAAAACTTTTTTACAGATCAGAATAAGGTGGTTTGGAAGAGGAGTAGTAAGAAAATAAAGGCATTACAGTAAAAAGACAGCTCTTTCAGGTGCACTGAATAAGCTACAAGATTTTTAACATTCTCCCTCCTCATCCCTCAGCTTTGAAAATGAACTTCAGAAATGCAAGTCAGGAGCAGATGCAGGCACAAAAGCTCTACCTTCTTCAGAGCAGCACAGGGGAAAGGACTGGTACCAGGCCAGCGCAACAGCTTGCCAACGGTGCTACAAAACCGTGCATCGCTTCCTGAAGGGTGACAAAACTGCACGTGCAAATACGTCCGATGAGCAAGAGCCCCGTCCCAGAGAGCTCTGTGGCCCTGTGAGGCACCTCAAAGTAAAGCCTAGAACTTGAAATAAACTGAAGTCTCTTTGCAAGAAAATCAGAACTTTCATTCATCAATGCTAAAAAAATAATCCTGTTTGCTGTTCCAAACAGCAGGGCTGGCCAGCTGATGCCACGACTCTCTTTCACTTGGACTAGCAAGCTATTCACGTTCCATTATTTCTCAGCAGAAGACACATTTTGCATGACAGGTAAAACACCACAAGATGTCAGTCACAAAATCAACAAGAGAAACTGGAAAGCTAGAGAGAAACAGTTCAGGTGAGATCAGCTTGGTACAAGCCACAGCATCATCTAGCAATCACAGCAATTGTGCAGAATAACAATACTAAAAATACAGCAAATTTTACAAAAAAAAACCAACCAAAAAACCCTGCTTACACTATCCCCTCTTTATAAACAGCCCTGGTGAAGGAATCAGCTTTTCAGTGGTAATTATTTCTCCTGGAGCGAGCAGACTATCTGAATACAAGGGTCATGTCTGCCTTGCTTTCTTCCACTGTAACCTGTATTTAGCATGAAGGTGTACAGTTTTCTTGCCCTCTCCTTTTTTCTTTCAAAAATTCCATTTAAAGGTAGATCAATGTGAAGTAATCTCTATAAAAGCACTACCTACTGATATTCAGTTAAAATGAGACATTTCCTCATTGTCCCAGGGCAGCAAGTCATCAAAGCTTATTACACTGCATACATCTGATGGAGCAAACATTCACCCCCGGGAATTCATTATAGTGCGATTAAACTGCTTAATTACAACTGACATAAATGACTGATAGTAACTTCATAGGGGAGGGTAGTATTTATGTATGCCAACTTTTTCCAGATATTCAAAAGTGTGTAATAAAAAGGAAGAAAATAATTAAAAAAAAAAAAAATCAAGCCAACCTTGTGTGATTCATGTCATCTTCATCACTGCTGCTGACTTCATCACTTGATGAGGAATAGTCTGCTGCTTTTAAGAGTGAGTTGGCACTGTCCTTCCCCTTGGCAAAGGAGCCTGGACTCTGAGTAAAGAAAACTCAGTTGATTTTTTTTCTCATGGAAGAACCCATGGCTGAACAGCATGTGCAGTGTTTTACTGTCCCAGCAAATACAGTTATTGTCACTTCCATACCGAAAAAAGCTTTATTAGGAAGTTGATGCTTTTGTTGGGCCATCACAAGCGGGTGTTTCACACAGGAAAGTGACCTAAGCCAAAATACCTGGTTTTCCTAAAAGGTGAAAGGTGACTAACTTTAGTCAGTATGTTATTTTGACTCTCAAGTATTTATGATTCAATCCTCGCACTTTGCAGGAGCACAGAAGTACCTCCTTTTTTTGCACAAGAAAAGGAGTGCTCTGCATCAGGACTAAGGGATCACACCGGCCTGAGTTTCCTCCCAGCCCTGGACTACCTTGAGGCTTGCGGGGCCGTGCCTGAGCACAGGCTGTGCCCGCGCAGACCGGGTACAAAGCACCTTTGGGCTGGAAAGGGCAATACCAACACAGCCATGGCTCCCACCCACAGGGCAGTTACACCCCCCAGTCCTATGGGAACTCGTATATAGGCCTCCCAAATGGCTGGCAATGGCCTAAACACAGAATCTTCTTCAAACCTCCAGTCCCTGACAAGCCAGGAGGGGCTGGGGGCTCTGGTAAGCTGCCACTGTCCCCTGCTGCCTGGCTCTGCATCCCCTGGAGCCACCCAGGCCTGCCTGCAAAGTTTTAAATTGCCAAGCATACCACAAACTTTTAAAATGCCAAACATCCCACGTATGAGCTCTTGCACAAGGCACCGTGAGATCCAGTTGTCTGATAGGCAATCCCCTCTTCTCTCCCCCACAAAAAACACCACCGAAGAAAAGAAATGCCTCAGTAAATAAGACAGAGGAGTAGCAATCATCCTTTCCATCAGTGGCACGTCAGCAAAGGGAGAGCCAGGACAGTCTTGAGTGTGTCACAGCCTGGTAGCACATATTCCAGGCAGTTACACACTGGATATTTGCACAAGCCACAGGCACGGTCTTCACTTCTGGGTTGCATGACAAGTGATCACTGACTTCCTGAAATATTAAAGACACATCCTTCCTTTCTAAAGATTTATGATCAAGCAGGTTCAGGAAAACTGAACTCTCTGCCGACAACCTGAGCTGGACACAAGACAGACCTGGACTGAAAGCTGATGAGACACGTTAACGCAGCAGTAAGCTCAAGCCAGCCCCACGCGGCCTCTCAGATGGACTCATTAGCTACCAAACTCAAGCACCAACAGAGCAGCTGTCTGCATAGACATGCCCTCAGTGAAAACTATGAACAAGTCAAAAATATCAGTGGATTTAAAAGAACCTACTGCAATCTGGCCTGGATAAGAAACTTTTTCAGACTTCTTATGCAGCTGCAAGTGGTTCTGGGACAAAGCGTTCTCTGCATTGGCCGGTCCTGGATTCCCTGGGGGGGGGAAGAAGAAAAAAAAGTTGCTTTTTTTAATTGCATGTGCAGCAGAGCGAGAGAGGGGACCAGTAAGACAAGCACATACAGTTACCACCCAAAGCAGACACCAGCCTCTGCTGACAAACTTCTTTTTTCTTTGTTGCAAAGGGAAATCTTGTTGCTTGTTTCCCAGTGGTTCTGGATGCCACAATATTATGTATATAAATCAATACTGGTGCAGTTTAACGCTGCAAGAGTAAGACAAGCAGACCAAAACCTTGGCAACATACTCCCACTGCACACCAGCAACAGTTCCATGGATTGGAAGGCAGCTTGCAAGGGAAAAGGGTGAGGGCATGCTATTCCCTTCCTCTAATCCTCTTCTTGAGGGGAGACAGCTCATCATATCAGCAACTGCCGGGTATATTCCAGCACAGAAGGTGCCACCCAGCTATAATCCTGAAACTGCAGACAGGGGTCAGGGAGAGGCTACAAGAGCCTAGCCCCCCCCCATGCACACTTTCACGAGCAAACAGACGTGGTGCCAAGATTTGGCCTTCATAAAACTGTTGCACAACAACAATCTAAAGGATCCCATTCTCTAAACCCAAGTGGGCTGGGGGCAAACAGCTGCACTAAACTTCACTCATGAGCATGGGGTCAAGCTAAAAGCAGAAGAGGATTCACTGCTTCCCATGGCAGCACAGGGAGAACCATTTTTCCAGCCCCTGCTTCCCTCGGGGCACACAGAGAGTCACTTCTCAGCTCCCACTTGCACTCTGCACCGTGGGGAAGTAGGTAATAACAGCCTGCATTTTTGCAGAGAGAACTGGCCCCCGCCGCGGGCCCAAGGTCAGGAACAGGTAGCAAGGAAGCTGCGGCACTCTGCTTCCCTCCCAGGTGGCTTGGGGACCTACGCTTGCCACCGTGCTTGCGCAGCTATTGAATACTCAAGCAAAGAAGACTAGAGGAGCTGGAGTCCATCTGCACGTGCTGATGCCATGTTAGGAGGGATGCTTGCAAGTAATTAAGCGAATCTTCCTTTTCAATGCCCCCACTGCCCACAAAGCTACCTAGGAAGAGCAAAAGCAGCCTTGGAGAGATGCTGTCTTCTGCAGACAATTCCTGATACAAGTGAAGGGAGGGAAGGCAGATGTGCCCTCGCCCTGCCAGGAGGACACACTAGCCAGCTCAACGTCTACCTCGTCGAGCAATTTCTCTCATGACTATCCCGCTGCTACCAACAGGACTCCTCGCAAGTTAAGGGGGGAGAATTCAAGCCCACACAAATTAGGATTCGTATTTGGTAATTCAGATAGTTTTATCAGAATGGCTTCGTGTATTCATGCATTTTGCAAAGCTTTTAAAATTCAGAATTCCTTATTGGTCAATGAGTACCTAAGCAACTCAGCAGAAGTATTAGCTTTAAAGTATTTATAGCCCTTTCCTGCCCAATTCATTATCCCTGTGGGTTTGAGAAAGCAACAAACTCTTTCTGGAACACCATATGCCAGAACTAGCTGTAATTTAATGACACTTAAGAACCCAAGGAGACAGTTTAAACCACAAGGGAGGTTTTCTATTCTTTCCATTGCTGGTGAGGTTTTCATTTCCCCATGCCAAAATAGCACAGGAGTTACACATCACGCAGACGTTGCAAAGTTGAGCTGGGCTGTTGCACATTGTTCGTCTCCATGCTGTTATTCAAACATAAAATGACATAAGAGCAAAAAGAAACAAAACCCAAGCAGTTTAAAGTGTGCTTTGGATTTCTCTTGAAGCAGAGCTTCCTATTCTGTGTAGTTAGCGAAAGCAAAACTGGCTTGATTGTGTAAGTGTAATAAATAAGCAATTTGCTCTTCATTTATCAAGGGCTTGCAAATTAACTATGTGAGCCTCAGTTTAAAAATAAATTACCTCAGCAGCTCCCTGGTGTGGTTTGAGAACACTTTTAGCATCCACCCTGCTTCAAATTGCACGTGATTCCCCACGTCCCCCATCTTTAGTAGTTAACCTGGCTGCAAAGCGTGGTAACACACCACTGCTTTGCAAGGAGCTACACAAGAAATTGCCCTACAATTGACCCACAGAAAACGCCCCTAGGAATAACAATAGAGGAACAAAGCTGCCCACTTCTGCTCCGTGTCCCCACCTGCCAGAACCTCAGGACATGTCTCACAAACCAGTCTGGTACTGCAAAAAAATCTGCACAACCATGAGCAAGCCCACTGCGTTCCTACACCACCGCCAGCGATACCAAGATAGCTTACAAAGCTGCACTTTGCTTAAATTGGATGAGGCTATCTCTACCTTTTAACTTCTTTCGCCTTTTTTTTTTTTTCAGTTCCACTACCCTTCTGCAAATAAAAGAATATTGGAGGAATGTTTCATAAGGAGCTGTACAGAAAGTCTTACCCTTCCTTCAGCCAGAACATTATTAGAGTGCAGAAATATTAGTGTACAGCAACTGCTCATCTGTATCATCTTATCAGTAGGCAATGCAAAAAAGCAGCATATGGTTATGCAGAAAATGCCAAGGGGTGAACGTTAGTATTGAATTACATCTGTATGCCTGTATTGTTGGCTCTGCTGAGTTTCAATGGTGTCAGTAAGTGCAACAGAACTGATTTTTTTCAATTCTTGATTGAGGCAATTCAAATTTTCTATATGGAAATATGTTCACAGTCACTTTTTGACTCAAAAGAGGAAGCGTTCATATTTTAGGAACATGGAACCATAAAATCCAGAGGGCTTTCAAAAGCCTATCACCAGAAGACATCGTTAAAAAAGATATCCCATTTGCAACACAGCACTTGACACCCTGCAGAAGCCCATTTCACGTGATAGGAATTTTGCACATTTTGACTGATGAATGTTTGACTTGGGAATCACCTGAGGTTGACCGGCTGCTCTGATGAGATCCCATCTCCCACTGGATGTTGCCAGGAGTGCTGCTGCTGCTGTTTAGCTTCAGAGCATGTCCCCCGGGGGACGACTGATGAGTGTTACTGAACAGAAAGACATAAAGCAGATCAGACTATCTTGCATGCAGGAACACAGACTGGAATGGACCTCCTAGGCCACTAAATCGAGTTCCCTGCTGTTACTGTATGATATAATACTCCTGATAAACAAAAAATTTATAGTCATTGCTGCTCCAAGCAGGGCCACCCAGTAGTGAGAGAAGATGACGGAGGGGAAAGTTTCCTCTGGGCAGTCATTCTCGGAGGTTACAGAGATTCCCTGATATTACAAAATATCATACTATGTGTACTTTTCCCTTGGCCTCTTCAGATCCGTGTCGCTTCTGATTCCAAAATCTCATGGCTTTTACAAATAACGAAACTTGCTCCAGTACCCTCATAGAAGATACATCATCACCCACTTATCGATGGAGAAAGGAACGCATCGGAGAGTGAAACAAGCTGCCAAGCTTGTGAAGTAAAACAGTGGCTCACCCAGAAACCCAGGCTCAGAAGCCACTCACTCGTAACACTGTGGTTTACTTACATGTTTCTTTTCTGCTTTGCCTCCTATAATTCCTAAGTAGAGACCATTTAGGGCTTGATTTCACTTGAAAATTATTTCAGATGATGTTTCTGACTCGGGCTCATCAGAAGCGCTGCACATAATTTTGTTATACTAGCTAAATCTACTTCCCTTTCAAATCTCTCCAACCCTCGCTTCTCACAGCATTATGCTCCCTGATTAGACATCCTGGGGGGGGGGGCTCCCCTTTATTGCTGGGCTCTCTGCATCCTTGGTCGTTCCTCCTGGCCACCCCCCCTTCCCCACGCCTTTTTCCCCCTGGTTAGGCCTCCCGGGGGGGGGGGGCTACCCTTTATTGCTGGGCTCTCTGCATCCTTGGTCGTTCCTCCTGGAATATGAAAAAAGTACACTAGCCTTAAGGGCAGACTGCCAAAATAGTCAAGATACATCTGCAGACAACATATTGGCCTGTTCAAGCTACTACCAGGCAAAACAAAGCTACAGGCACAAGCTTCACAAGCTGTAAGTGCCTATACAGGGAGCTAGGGCCAGACCCACACTCCCCTAAGTATCCAGGCACCTAACTTTCCTTTGAAACCAATGGCACCGGTGCTGATGCAGAGCATCCAGGCAGCCCTGACCAGCACCGCTCCCACCTGCCATCACCAGTGCCAACAGGTTTGGATCTCAAGTAACCTGCACCTTCAGCAGCCGCTTACTCTAACATGAAGGGCAAGTAAAGCATCACCAAATCCCAAGAAGTTAAATGACTGCACAACATGCTGCCCGTTAACTGGGAAACGGACACACAACCTGCATGCAACCCAGTCGGGCATGCGAAACAGGCTGAAGCAAATGAAACGACTCATTGCAGGAATTATTTTTACAGACGGAACAGCCCTTATATATTAAAAACACTGCTTTCCACCAGAATACAGAACTACCTTGCCTGAAAAGGAGGAGAAGATCTACAAGAGTTTCTCTTGTTTCTCTTTAAAACAGTTATGCCAATCATTAAAAGGAAGCTGGCTTAGACAGTTCTTTCAGGTTTCACATCAGGAGGTTTGGTTAGTTATTTTTGTGGACACACTGACTGAGAAGACAAAATAATTGTAACTGCTGTTAAATGAGATATGAACCCATGTCAGTTTTGGTGTTACTGAGGTTATGGCTTTGTCTTTAATGAATTTACTTTAGTTTTCCTATTGACGATAAATCAGCATTAGTATAAGCATAAAACGCTTAAGAGCTTACCTTGAAAGGCATCTCTGATGGCCAGGCTGATCCTTGCTGTAAAATTTAGAGGTTGTCCTTTCTGGAACCTTAAAGATTTAATCAAATGTTTTAAGGTTGCTACTGATATTTTAGACTTAGTTAATAAACCTAATGCTTACCCAGTATCAATGCAAAAATAAGACTAACCAACATAAATGAATAATGCTTGAGTGGGACCTGTGGAGAGGTCTTCCATGATATCAATACTGGAAGCTGCAAGTCAGCAGCAGGTGCTTCCAATTTGCTCGAAGCTTGTGCAATCTATCAGGGTGCAGACTGCAAGCGGTTTGCACCTTTCCCTAGAGTCAGCATTATTCTTGGTCAATATTTAAAGCAGACAGGGAAACACATCTGCAGTCACTTAATGCAGCTTTCCCTAGGTGGTGGATTACCTTATGTTGCTATCAAAGGGCTGGGGGAATAGAGACACACACACCCCCCCCCTCAGCTGCCAAGTAATAAAATGAATACACGCATGCACGCACATACACATCCCCACACAAATATTCTTGTACTTGTTCTTAGAAATTCTGTTAAAAAGAGAAACACACCATCACTTGAACTACAGAAACTAATGAGCTTTTCTGCAACAGGCCAGATTTTTCACAGAAAGGGCAGCCACAAATAGTTGGTCTAACAAAAGAAGGGTATCTGCATTCGCAGTGCTCATCAGAACACTGACCTGCTTAAAAATTCATATCTTCTTTCTAGATTAGTGAGACCCAGTTAATGTACAAGCAATGGGATTTTCACTGAGTTTCATGAAGCCCAGAGGATGGATACTACACAGCGCAGGGGAACAGAGTGGAGTGCTATTAACCACCAACAGTGCCAAACACCCCAAGTTTCACTTACCTTTGGGGGTTGTTCTTCGTTTTGACTCGCGTTCCAGAATACGTCATCCTGCACAGGGCTGAGGGGTGTTGTCACCATGTCCGACAGTGAACCGCTGTGGTACACATCCTTACTAGCCCGGAAATTTTCACACTTGAAACAAAGGAAATACACGTTGAATTGTACTTCCCTGCCTATGTAACAGGTCCCAATCTCAACAGATATCAATGGTTCTGTTTGCGAGATCAAATTTTTAGTAAACGTACAAGGAGTATTGTCTTTGCACACAGCCCTACTCACGTTGTTCACTGTGAATTAAGTTATTAGTTTCCAGCATATTAGCATGTTAGGCACAAATATTTCAAGGTGAAGGGTACAACAAAAAGAAACAGTAAAAACATCTATGCTGTACATATATCTCTCCCCTTCTTAAAATCTGTGGAGAACCTAATAGCTCATTAGCAATGCACAGCAAACTAGTTAACCGGATGGCGCAAAAATTACTGTTGAGTAAGTATATTTCATTCAAAGCTGACCAAAGCTTCCATTTCAGAATTTAGATGTTATAACCACCGGGGGAACCCACCTCCCCTAAGTCAGATGCTGGCTTCCAAACTGGTCTTTGCAAGCCCACCACCAACCTAGAGTCAATGGAGACAAACTGCCAGCTGGAAGCACTTTGAACTCTCCAGTGGTTATGAGGGTGCCCTGGCCCTCCTCTGTAACAGATTTTTCCAATTACTTGGGGAGAAACTATGCTCAGACTACACCTCATGAGTAGTCATGTCCCGGTGCTCCCATTGCGACTGCCTGTGTTTAAAAGGTATCTTCAAAGGTACCAAATTAGAGCCCTAGGATAGCAAATGCCCTAATCATGGTGGGGGGCAGGGGGAGGGGAAGAAATCAAATCGTTTCCTTACAAAGTCTTCAGTCCAAGGGAACAAGTGAGCAGTGTAAAACTCAAGCTAGAATACTCAAAATTTGGTCCTCTGACTCTTTCTGTAACTAAAAGGGGGGCGGGGGGGGGAGAAAAGAGAAAAGACGGAAAGGTCCCTTAAATTCTACATACTAATGATCTGTTACACCAGCGTCTTCCAAAGGGGAAGAAAGGCAGAGAGCTAAAAATGTCAACTGAATGTACTGATCCTCCCTGAAATGAGAAATCCTCTTGGACACAAGACTGAGACAGAACACAAGGAAACACTGTGTGAGCTGGGCCCGTCTTGAGGGATTGCTATGCTAGAACCAATTTGATGTTACAGAAATAGAAAAAATATTAAAGAAATGCCTGAAGCTATACCACTTTGTGCTTTATCTTGTCAGATCTCCCATGCAAAGCAAGACCAGGGCTCTCCGGAGACACCCGCAGCCGGCAGGAGCGCCACGGGCTGACGTCCTTCCCGCGTCGGGAGGGAGCCCATGCCCCAGCACGCTAACACACCTCTGCTGGGAGACACCTCTTTCTCAAACACACGGCAAGACCAGCATCCCCACCACTTGCAGGCCTAAGAAAGAGGCTGGCAATTTTTGTCTGAGTCAAAGTTCAAACTCTTGTGTCCTGATTGAGTTACTGCAATTGAGATCAGAGGCAGCTGCAGTTCAGTTTCCCCAAAGAACGACTCAGACGAATATTTTATTGATTTATCAGCCCAAGTCTATAAAATTCTCCAGTTCCCAAGTCTTAAAAAGTAAAACACAGTACCTGAGAACTGCATACATCTTTTCAATAACATAGTATTATTACGAACTCCCTATAACTACAAGAGTAATTATTTCATGGGAACAATGTTCAAAATCACTTAAATATTGACAGGTAGTAATTCTAAAACTAGTTAAAGATGCCAAACATCCACTCAAATGCCCCATCACAAGCTCCCAGACCAGCATAGCAAAGTCAGCTGTCGAAAAACAGCCCTCAGAAGTTCACCTAGTCAAATATTCAGGTGCTTTTTCTGCCTTTTTGGGACAATATGTTCTGTTGACTCCCTTTACAGAAAATAGCTTTTTCAGCAGCTGTAACATCTCATAATCCATGTCCTTTCATTCTGTCAAAGCTACTTTTTTGTCCAACATGATTGTCACTAATAGTAGTTTTTAGTTAACCAGACTTATTTCAACAGCAAAGTGTTCCCCTGAAATGATTCATCATGGGTATAGGAATAGGTTTTATAGCAAGTGTATTATTATCAGAATACAGAAAGATTTTTGTTTCCTTGCCACTTTTTCAATAAGATACATTTCTTCCTAAATTCCAGCTTTTGAGTCCTGCAGAGTAACGGAAAACTGTTTGTGCTTAAAAGCACAGATGAGCTTTGCTGAATCATGATATAAGTGACTGGGTGAATCGCAACCCTGCAGATGGTACCCACATACCTTCTTTGGGCAGAGGGAGACCAGTACGTCGGTTCCCTGTGAAGCCAAGAAGCGATGCCTGCTTTTGGAATGATTTTTGTAGGACCTACAAGACCTTGCGATTCCACAGCAAGCCAAAAATGTCTCAAGTAATCCCCAAAATCACGGTGTTTGATATTCCCCTTAAGTTTTACAGATAAAATAATTTGGGGGGGACGGACTCAAAAAAGACACCTAACAACGATTCTAAACTACTCAGACTTGAGCCTTACATTGTTTTTATTATAAGTAATACCGAAAGAACAGCAGCTCCTCTCATGCGCAGCAAGCACTGGTAGACAGTGTGTTACCTACTGTGTCTTCAAACCATAAAGGCACATGTAACAGAGCTAAAAAAAAGGACCCTTTGCTTCCTGAAAGTATAACATAAGGTGATATAGTACAAAAGATCAATTACTAGAGTTAGTTTTAAAAGATTTAGGAGCAAGAAGTTTTAAAAAGACAGGCTGCACTGCTTTTTGGAGGATGCCTAAGTTACTAATTTGAACTCAGTCTACATACATGGGGTAGATAAGTGCAACTGTTGTTACAAAACAGCATAAGGAAAAAGATTTTCTCAAACTTCTGAGCAGATCTGCTCTGGGATACTGGGTCAATCCATGACCTAATGCACAGCCAGTTCTTCTAATAGTATTAGCTTTCTTGTTCTGTTTCAGCCACATTACTCCAGACAATAGAGGAGATCTAGCGAGCAAATCCTACAGGAAAACCACAGAGTCAATTAAAAAATGGAGTTCGTTTCAGATGTGAGCTAAATCCCCCCACTAGTCAGGCAGCAGGAGCCACTAGGCAGAGAAACAGACTCAGGGACTTTGTTCAAGAAGCATCCGAGGAATTCTGCAGGTAGCCCAGAACGGCTCATCCCACACCACCACAACCAGAGAGCCAGATCTGCTACCGTGCTGCAGGAAACACAAAAACAGGTACAAAACAGGTGGAAATGGTACGCTCTGATCTGGTAATATCACGCATTTCCCTTACCAGACTGATAGGATACAAGAGACTGAGAAATCATGCTCCTTGCACCTCAGGGGCTGCGTCAAGATTTCCAGTGAAATAATTTTGAGAGAGGTTTGGGCAACAGGATGTGCCACAAAACCTCACAGAATATGATCGCTTAAAATAAGAAGTCATTTTTGTCTGAGCAGAGCAGCGATGACAGATGATCCCTCTCTGACAAACCTGGCTGGAAGTTCTTCAGCACAGACATCTGTGATGAATTCAGCTTGAATTGTAACTCCGCAGTTCGCTTTTATTTTAAATCAACAAGGCACCCACGTATCGAACTTTACAAGTATATTGCTGTGAGTCTTTTAATCTCCAGGTGACTAGCTGGCCCAGCACTCATATTGCTTTAACACTTCCTACAGTTAACGCAGGCAGCATATCCAAACATGCCGCTATTAGCATCAACAGCTGCTGCCAACCAGCAAAAGGAAACACAGCCCTTCAGAGGATTTATAAATTACCCACTGAAGTTCATCTGGTCTCCGTGCTAACACAGCAGGTAAGAGTACAGATTAGCTTCTCCCTGTCCACACGGTCTCTGTCAGCTGGAGCAGTGACTTGTCAGTGGGTAACAGGGCAGCTACCAGCAGGGAGTGAAATCACACGGTAACAACTGTGTATCACTTGCCGTTATTATCCTTAAGTAACACCATCACTTTAAACAGCATATAATTTTTATAGTGTAGTTTCCATCAAGGATTGTGAAAGAGGTTGATGAATACTGCTTCATTCCTCACCACTCCCCTTGGCAGCTGGGAGAGGTACTACCAAACAGAGAAGCACCGATAAGGTGCAAAGGAATGAAGTGGCTTGTCCTAGGTGATGCAGCCAGCCTAGAACGCAGCTCCTTTCATCCCCTGAGTGGCATTTTAACAGGGCAGGACTATCCTCTGTACAGCCACTGTGCTCCTGCAGAATCCCAAATGCCCTGCAAGAAACTACAGACTCTCCCACTTGTATTGCAGAGCTGAAATATTCACCTCAAGGAAGCTGCCAGCCTCTACCCAAGGCTAAGATACAAATGTCCTTCTTGTAGACCTTGCACCAGCTTTCCAGTGATTTGATGCTACAAGCCAGGCCATCAACTCAGCCTGGTTACACGACTCATGGCTTGAAATGACAAACTGGCCCTGGAAAAAAGGATGTGAGAAGACACACAAATATTTTCCCAGGTAGAAGCTATCAGGTGGAATGGGGCCTTTCCTCTCCCAACAGCTGTCTACGGTGATTCTTCCATCATCACCAAACAGCAACCCGAACAGCAAAGGCACAGGGAGGCTTTGACTTAAAGATGCTAACAGCCAGCTGTTATCTGCCTCCCACAGATTCGCTCCAGGGCACAAACAGAAGCAGAAGGACAGGGGAGGGCTGAGCCAGGGAGCCTGATCCGTGAGGACCCCGACTCTTGGGGAAGGAGAAGCTATGGAGTGCTTTGCGAAGCACAGCCCAAGAAAAAGGCACAGCATGAGAATGGTGCTATGAGGAGGGCTGACTCAGGACATGCTGAGCTTGACGTGGCCAGTATACGGAGCTGCTAACGAGGGCATGGTTTTTAAGGCACTTCAACATCTTGGTTTTTAAGGCACTATCCATACCATGCTGGGGGACTTCAGCCACCCCGACATCTACTGGAGAAGTAGCACGGAGAGCTGTAGGCAATCCAGGAGACTCCTGGAGTGCAAGGAGGATAACTTCTTAAGCCAGCTAATAGACAGCCCTACCAAAGGGAATGCGATACTGGACCTGATGGTCACCAATGCAAGTGAGCTCATCGGTGCTGTCAAGACGAGGCAGCCTGGGCTGCAGTGATCATGCACTGGTGAAGTTCACAGTCCTGAGGGATATGGGTCAGGTGAAGAATGAAGTAAGGACACTGAATTTTAGGAAAGCAAACTTCCAGCTCTTCAAGGACTTAGTCAACGGGAAGCTGCCCTCAGGGACAAGGGAGCAGAACAGAGCTGGCAAATCTTTAAGGACGCTTTCCATAGAGCACAAGAGCTCTCGATCCCCAGGCATAAGAAATCAGGAAAGGAAGGCAAGAGACCAGCATGGCTGAGTCGAGACCTGCTGGTCAAACTAAAGGGCAAGAAGGAAATGCACAGGCAGCGGAAGCAGGGACAGGTATCTTGGGAAGAGTATAGGGACGCTGCCCGGTTGCGTAGGGATGGGGTCAGGAGGGCCAAGGTGCAGCTGGAGCTGAACTTGGCAAGGGATGCAAGGAATAATAAGGCGGCCTTCTATAGGTGTGTCAGCCAGAAAAGGAAGGCCAAAGAAAGCGTACCCCCCAGATGAATGCGACTGGCAAACTGGTAACAACAGACGAGAAGGCTGAGGTACTCAACAACTCTTTTGCCTCAGTCTTCACTGGCAGCCTCCCTTCCCACACCTCTCGAGTGGATGGACCACAAGACAGGGACTGGGGGAACAAAGTCCCTCCCGCTGTAAGAGAAGACCAGGTTTGAGATCACCTGAGGAACCTGAACATACATAAGTCTATGGGACCTGATGAGATGCATCCCAGAGTCCTGAGGGAATTGGCTGATGTAGTTGCCACGTCACCCTCCATCATATCTGAAAAGTCATGGCAGTCAGGTGAAGTTCCTGGTGACTGGAAAAAGAGAAACATTGCACCCATTATTAAAACGGGTAGAAAGGAGGAGCCTGGGAACTACCGACCTGTCAGCCTCACCTCTGTGCCTGGGAAGATCATGGAACAGATGCTCCTAAGAAGCTATGTTAAGGCACATGGAGGACAGGGAGGTGATTTGGGACAGCCAGCATGGCTTCACCAAGGGCAAGTCTTGCCTGACGAACCTAGTGGCCTAGGGCTATACCAGTGGACAAGGGAAGAGCTACGGATGTCATCTATCTGGACTTCTGTAAGGACTTTGACATGGTCCCCCATAATCTCCTTCTCTCTAAATTGGAGAGATATGGATTTGATGGGTGGACTGTTTGGTGGACGAGGAATTGGCTGGATGGTCACACCCAGAGGGTAGTGCTCAACAGCTCAATGTCTGGATGGAGATCAGTGATAAGTGGTGTTCCTCAGGGGTCTGTATTGGGACCAGTACTGTGAATATCTTCATCAATGACATAGACAGTGGGATCGAGTGCACTCTCAGCAAGTTTTCAGATGACACCAAGCTGAGTGGTGTGGTTGACATGCCTGAGGGACAGGATGCCATCCAGGGGGACCTGGACAAGCTTGAGAAGTAGGCCCATGTGAACCTCATGAAGTTTAACAAAGCCAAGTGCAAGGTCCTGCACTTGGGTTGGGGCAACCCCCAGTATCAATAGAGGCTGGGGGATGAAGGGATTGATAGCAGGCCTGCAGAGAAGGACTTGGGGGTGCTGGTGGGTGAAAAGCTGGACATGAGTCCACAACGTGTGCTCGCAGCCCAACCGTCTCCTGGGTGCATCCCCCGCCACGTGGCCAGCAGTCTGAGGAGAAGGACTTGGGGGTACTGGTAGAGGAAAAGCTGTACATGAGCCGGCAGTGTGTGCTCGCAGCCCAGGAAGCCAACTGTATCCTGCGCTGCATCACAAGGAGCGTGGCCAGCAGGGCAAGGGAGGTGATTCTGCCCCTCTGCTCCGCTCTGGTGAGACCCCACCTGAGGTACTGCATTCAGCTCTGGGGTCCTCAGCACAGGAAGGATACGAACCTGTTGGAGTGGGTCCAGAGGAGGACCACAAAAATGATCAGAGGGCTGGAACACCTCTGCTACAAGGAAACGCTGAGAGAGTTGAGGTTGTTCAGCCTGGAGAGGAGAAGGCTCTGGGGAGACCTTACTGCGGCCTTTCAGTACTTAAAGGGGGCTTATAAGAAGGATGAGGACAAGCTTTTTAGTAGGGCCAGTAGCAATAGGACAAGGGGTAATGGTTTTAAACCAAAAGAGGGTAGATTCAGACTAGATATAAGGAAGAAATTTTTTACGATGAGGGTGGTGAAACACTGGAACGGGTTGCTCAGAGAGGTGGTAGATGCCCCATCCCTAGAAACATTCAAGGTCAGGTTGGACGGGGCTCTGAGCAACCTGATCTAGTTGAAGATGTCCCTGCTCATTGCAGGGGGGATGGACTAGGTGACCTTTAAAGGTCCCTTCCAACCCAAACCATTCTGTGATCTTCCATGCAGGATGTTCATCAGCAGCTCATGCCAAGCAAGATTTCAGTGGCCAGCAATGAGCTTAATAAAAGCTTGGGATAATACAACCTAACCTTATAGTAATAACCCATAATCGCAGGTAGCCTCAAAGAAGTACAGGGGCCCACCCTGCTTCTAGGGCTCAGCGGTGAGGCAGCACAACACGCTCTGAAAGCGGCTGAGCTGCAACTAATCACCCATCTTTCCCTGCGGTCTGATCTTCCCCCTTTGACTCCAAGACCCAGCGCACAAGGCAAAGAGGCCACAAGATGCCACAGCAGCCCATAAACAACGCCTAAGCCTGATCTGAATGCCACTGTGCTGTGGGTACCACTAGCTAAATCCCACAGAAGCAAGTGGAGAGATGGATCAGAAGCTGTACGTCCATCCAAGCAGGAGTCCAGCACAAACCGAGAGCTGCCAAGAATAAAACAAGCGCTATGATTGTATATCCTCGTTGAGGGGATGAATGAATGCACAAATGAAGTGCTGTGGGGAACCGTAAAGGCAATAATTCCTGCCACTGCGTGTTTTCAAAGCAAGTGGAGATTTCCAGCTTAAATGAGCTGTGCTCACACTTACAGTAGTTTATTCCATTTCTACTTGCTGTCTTGTTTTTCTTTTGCTCATACATGCTTACAGTCCCTTCACAAGAGACTGGAGCAAAAAGTAACTGCAGTCTAAGCTACTTATTTCATGCACTGTGAAAGAGTAGGACGTTGAAAGGAAGCCGAGTTTTTGGGCACACTGTGAGAACCTTGAACCACCTCTCCCAGAACTGGTAGAAATACCAGGAGCTAAAATGTTTTGAGAGAAGGATTGCAATGCAGAACTTTATCAGAGTGCTTTCACTGTATAGGTACTGTTTAGGTACCACTTCTACCTCTAATACTGAAATCTTTCAAGTCACAGACCTTCTGGGCTCTATCCACAGGCAAAATCTGACTCGGCATTATTCCTTATTGCATCTCTGTATACTTCTAGATTATTTCATAAGATCACTAACAATCTTCCTTATTTATATGGTCTTCAGGGATAAAAACTCTGGCTTTGGACTTGTTTTGTAAAGTGCCACATGTATTTATGGCGCCATATAAATAATACATCATCCAGGGACTGCAACAGCACAGTCATTCAGGCTTTCTGTGAAACATTTAAGAGTAATATCATGGAATCAGCAATCAGGCATCAAGTATATAAAAATAACTGTTATCTAACCCTGATCTGCAATGCCTAAGTATAATTCCATGTAGAACTTAGCAGCATGTGGTGGCACTAAAAACCTCTGAGCCAATTTGCACAGGCCTCAGCCATTTCCGCCAGGAGCAAAGGGAATCAGCTTTTGGATGTGCTGCTCCGCTTAGGACCCCCCCGTGCTTTCTCCTCCCCACCTGGGGCAGCAGTACCGTACCTGTACTAACACGGCTCTCTGTGGCGCGGGGGTGCAAGGGCTGGAACTGCTGCCAGATCGCATCCTGGCGTGTGGCGTGGCTTCGTGCCCCAGCACCGCTGGCCACTGGAGGGAAGGCTGGATGCTGTCATTTTTCTTTTTTCTGTCCTCGGCCTGAGAAGGAGAAAAGCAGCAGCACGTTGCACACTGAGCCTCAGGCTTTGCAGCCTGGATGTTCTCCAACAGCAGCACAGGGCACATCGACTCTGACGGACCTCCCCATCGGGGAGAGGTCAGCCCTGGCACAATATGAACCATTATCACCTCTCCATTTGCAACTCTTCCTTTTCCATCAAGTTTCCAAAGTGCAGCAAGGAAAAGGGCCTGAGTTGCCATCTGCTGTATTCTAGGCCACCCCATTTGCTGCAGGCTGGGATTTTTAGCTAGGAGGAATCATCTGTCAGTATTTACTTATCTTTGACAACATGCAGCCTGTTTTGCTGTGCATTTATTACCCCCTTCTACAACGCTGACATTAACGCATGTTGCTTGCTACTTTAAAACACTTTTTACACTCTATCTTTTGGTATGTTACTTGCACTATGGAAAGGACTGAACAACATGATCTGGAAGAAATAAAGGTCCTTTTATTCCTGAGGGCATTGCTCATTACAAAAATCTTTATTCTATGGTTTTGACCCCACTGCTCTTTCCAGTTTCATTCAACATGACTAATTCCTGTTCTCTAGTGTAAATCTTTAGCATATCCTCTGATTCAGCAGCCTAGAAACAGCTATACACAGTAAACTAGAGATTAATGCCATAAAAATACCCAGTTAGTTATCTGTGTCTAGGTGGTCATTCTTAACGGTATCTCTCACTATATCTGGATATTTGTGCCTACAGCAGGAAGGTAAGCATATTCTTAACACAGCCTAGGAAACTGCTGAGGAGATGGAAAATGATTCCACTTAGTCTCACAGATCTTGACTGGGAAAAAAAAAAAAAAAAAAAAAAAACCCAAAACCAACCCCAAAAAAAAAAAAACCTTATTAAAAAAAACAACCCAAACCAAATACC